AACTAATAATACTACCTACTTACTACTACTACTTAACTAACGTAAACTAATAATAAACGAAAACTAAAACTAAACTAACACCACCACCCACCGACCACGAGAGAGAGAGAGAGAGAGAGAGAGAGAGGGTTCATACTGAATGAGCAAGTGTATGGATATAAACATAGCAAATAATTGAGAGTTAAAAAGAGCCCAAAATAAATGGGAGGGTTGATTTAGATATTGACAGTGTGCAAGGAGACTCGGGTACTTTGGTAAAAGGGAAAGTTAGGAGGAGATAATGCAATGGAGTTCAAGAGCATTTGAAGATAATAAAGAACATGTAAAGCATTCAAATAACAAAAACCTTTGCCTTTGACGACAACCAGACCAAAAATTTATTGATTTAGTTCCTTAAACATGCTAATATGTCATCACTAACCAACCATCTTGAAGTCAATACAGAGGCCAAATTAATCCCAAAATAAGACATGTATTGCGAGGCATGGAACCCTTCCAATCTGATAACATTTCCCTATCAATACCAATCTGATAGTATCAGCCTCCATGTAAGTAGCCATGTTCAATAATACCAACACATAATAGAGTTTAATTATATATTGAACTTGTTGTTAGCTTCTACAACAGCTTTATTGCTTTGAAACTAATAACTAAAATCTAAGGGCAATCTCACATAACTTGATGATGGACACAGGCAAACAACAGAGGACTCGTTATCAGGATCAACTTTATTGAAACAGTGAATTATCAGTGATGATGAGTACATCCAACAGACCATAAAATTCATTCCCAAGGATGGTAGCACCAAAAGGACTCAAATGATGCCACTCATAAGCATTTCCAATTCACTCAGACACCTGAGTGTACATATATGAATCATGCTTGGACACATATACATGGACCAAGGTTAATCTAATGACCAGTATATATCCATACATGACATAAAGTAGGACACAAATCACCAAAGTATGCCCAATGAAACGGTCAATGGTGCCTCATTTGGTGGATGAAGTATTGATCCACATTATTTTGCCCAGTAGAATCCAACCAGGTGGCAGCCTAATAGTAATCTTGCAGCAATATATACGAGGAACACTTTTCTTATTCCCCAGGACAACTCTCGTCTATTTTTTCATTTACTTGATGAGAAGAGTGAAGAATATAGAGCGATGCCCGGATAACTCCCCAAGAAAAATAGAAACAACGTATCACATTACTACCATCGTAAGGTACCCATAAGCCCATCATCATCATTTTCATCATTCAAGACTTATCCCAACTATTTGGGGCTATAAAAAGGGCTATACTTTCAGTCAGACCATAAGTCATCCACAAACCCATCATGCAGTCACTTATAAGCCATTTTCAGCCTTTGTATGGGTTTAAGTCTACCCTAGTATATTCTCACAAATCACAAACCAAATGGAAAAGAAAGACTTTTTACTTCTTCAATAAGACAAATGAAAAGCGAAATCATCATCTGCAAATTCTTCTTTTTGACTTGTTAACCACTAAAGAATGGAGGAAACCAAATCCGAATAGCCAAATCAAAAAGATATGCCTGGATGTTAACGGCCAAAACCTCGACAGCACAAAGGATCTTGTTCGCCTGGCTCATAATGACTTAAAGAGCGCAAAGAACAAGGTACATGAACTAGATCAGCATAAAGTGGGATCGATTTCTTCTAAATTTACAAAATCTCGAAGTAGGAGTTTAATGCACAGTAATGAGATCAATGTGATTCACACTCTTTTGTGTACATTGTCCAATTACTCATTTGGGTCACAAACATGCAGTTACAGCTGTACAAAGGGGATACAAATTTGGGAGACATTTCATTTGCATGTGAAGTTATATATATATATATATATATGGGTGCGGTTTCTATAAGGTTGCAACCTTAAACAA